GCCTCAATGATAGCTAAATCTTTCATATTGAATTGACCCTATAGCTCTGTCTTCTCTTCAAAGCTAGCTATTTTGCCTTCTCTACTGAATGACTACGTATCTCATTCCCTATCGAAAGATAAAAGACTTACAATTCGGTATGATAACGACACCCACCTTGCTAGATGTAGCTGCCATATTTGGTCTTCACCCCCATGGTGATACTCATCGTCCCTTCTTTCGCCCTATACTTTCAATCTTTCTTGATCTTGAGTAGCGCGCTATTGCTATAGCTTAGGCTTTCTTTCCTTTTTTCTCGACTAGTTGTCGCGGGAAAAGAAATGACTTTCTGTCCTGTCTCTTCGGTAGACCGAGTTGCTTTCTCCAAGTGAGTTTAGTAGCGGAGTAGGCAAGAATAGCCTCTCTCTCTTGCAGAATCCACGAAAAGGACTAGCTTCAGCCTTATCCATCCACGCGGAAGATTTAGAGATCGACGTTCCCACATAAAGTCATGCTTAGACGAACTTCTCGATGCACAGTCGGGGCAGCCTTCTAGCATCGAGTTCACTCATCCATGCCCTTGGCTTACCCGACCGATTGGCTTGAAGCTTTCATCTCCTGATGTCAGAAAAGGTGTTCTATCGCATTCTTTTAGATATCCACGTGTGAGACTTTCTTTTAAGCAGCTTCTCAGCTAAGGGCTTTGGGAGGCCGGGAAGGAAGGAACGGCAGGGCAGAATAGACTACTATAAGGAATTTATTCCACTTCTCTTTTCAAAAGGAGAACACAATTCAAATCCTCTGGAAAAGAAGAAAGCAGCACTTTAGTGATTCCAAGTTCTTTACTAACTCTGTGTCGATCTCTAAACGCCTAATCTCACGACTGCTTAAGAAAGCAAAGTTCACTCTCAAGCTAACCTGTGGATGCGGATAAAGCTCCACCAAAGAAAGAATAGGAGAAAGGCATTTCCTTGTCTTGGTCCAGTAGTGGTCCTTCTTTTCACCTACCCGTCCGCCTTCTTGTACTGATGTGCTTTTTTTCTTTTAATGACAGGCTTTCGCCTAGAATCATACATCCACTCAGAATTCCGGGTATCCTTCATTCATATGGGATACCCTGCTACTTTCCCTCTCGGACCAGTCCTTCATCCGATCCTAGTTCCTTGCCTTTTTCGCCTCTTCCTACTCCCAAGACTTGGATGATGACTTACCGGTTTAGGACTTACCATCTTCGGATCAACCAGTCATATATTCTTTAACCGTCTTCTAAGCCCGAGCGAGATGATCTGATATGGTCTGAAGGTACCCGATCAATTGCACTTGATCTTTCTAGCAGCTTACTGGACAAGATTGTATGGGCAGTACCGGAACGTGCCGCCTCTTGAGCTTGGTTCCGAGATTCTAGTCTACTTCCGTACATCAGTGATTTCGAGCGTTACTGAAAAGCAAGGGTATTTTGGAAAAGACCCTACTACTAAACTAAAGGGTCTTCTTTTGAAGATTCCTTTGGTGGTCACCGGTGGGTTAACGAAAGAAATCTGTCTTGGTTAAAATAAAAAGGTAGTAAAGTTAGGCCGTCGATCAGGGTGGCTGTATGTTGCACTTTACTGTAAACAAGCATCAACATGCTTGATGCAGTATTCTTCTTCTACTCACCCTAAGAGGTTGACCGAACTATCGGTTCCCATCTCTCTCACGAGGACGGGACTCCCAAGGATCATTCTCCCGTTTCACCGAAAGGTGATCCGTAGGCGTGATGATCGAGCAGATATAGTAGTAAAGTTGTATCTTTCTTTACTATAGCAAAAATCCAAAATTGGCTAAGAAAGTGGATAGATCCACTTTCTCTTCTATCTCTACTCCCCCTTCTAATGTGAAGGCCTTGGCTACCGATGCAGCGAATTCTTTTGATTTATTCAAAGAATTACAGCATCGGTATGTTCTGTCTATCTCTAGTCTTCCTTTGCTACAAGGAATTACTTGGGATCCGACCTGGAAGGCCACACCATCTAAGATGAAGCCTATCCGATTGAAGGGCTCTCGTCGTAAGAAAGGAGTGAAATCTGTCTTCCGAGCCTTCCCTTTGAAATCCATTCTTGGTTTCAACTTGCTGAGTCTCGGAATCAGTTCCGTGGACGTCAACAAGCTAATTGGTTAGGCGCGTTGTGGTTTCCTTGGACGAGGTATTGTTTTGACCCTAACAACGAACTCATCTCGCAGATAGGTTGTTCTGCATTTGAGGAAGCTGTTAGAGTCGGACATCCTTGTCCAGAGTTTGCTGAGGTTATGCCCACCCTCGGCCGACTAGGTCAGTCTATAGAGGGTGGGTTTTTGCGCGGTTTACTGAGACTCCGTAAAATAGGTTCCTGGACACAAGGTCCTATCCTAGGCTTAGAGCTCTCGTCAGCTGTTCGGGATTAAGCCGATTGACCTAAGACGTCCATCATCGAATACGACGCTGGCCTATACTAACAATTATAAAAACTGAACTCACTTCGCTACCTTTCTCCGAGTGAAAATGAAATTGGGGAAGGGGAGCTTTATACCCTAAAGTTGCAGAGGCTAGTTCCAGCCGAGGTAGGAGATCCATCATCTCCATACGAACAAAGCAGCACAGGTAGCAGTGGTTGCTCCAAGAGCCCCCTTTTCAACATCTTCGGAGCTAACCCCGGAAGTTACGGCATAAGCTCAATCATTCCTCATTCACTTCGAGCCAAAGCAGAAAAAAACAAATCCAAATAAGTAGCCAACCTAGATGAATCTGGTCTCTCAGTGACTTCCTTCGTATAAGCTGGTAAGGCGGATACAGAGGCCATTGTAATCCCTAGCATGAGTTTTCTAATCAAATCAAAGATAGCAGCTAAAAGAACGCATCTACAAGAGGGATCTAAAGTAGAGCAAATCGCTAACCTAAATTGATAAAGAAGCATGCCGATTACAATAGCATGTAAACGGTCAGGTGAACACCATCCGAACAGTGACCGAATTGGAATGCGGACTCGGTGATTAGACATAGAGATTACTAATACTTACTCCGGCCCTACGGTGTTGGCTCCGTCTTATATATGTTGGGTAGAAAGAATCCGGTATCTCACTAACTAGTCCATGCCAAGATAGTAGAGGGGAATAGATAGGGAGATAGAGGAAGAAATCCATACCGAGAGGTTCAGTAGGAATATGTTGGAAAAACCAACCAAAAAAAAAATATTATGTTATGGTTGAGTCTAAAACCTGGCTCTGCGGTTTATGGAAAACTCGCGCTAACTACTACATACAGGAAGTTCAAAGCTTGGGCAGAACAGGGACAAGGGAAGCTAAGCTCTTCGAGCTTTCTCCGCCAGCTCTATCTTATGTAGTGTGGTGGCCGGCCTTCCTACCAGAATGCCTCCGCGGACGAGCAGCGTGCTGAATTCTTGGTATTGCACAATCGGTCCAGCATGAGTTGATCCAGTTTAGTCCGAACAGCCTGAGGAGTAGGCTTCCCGATGCGGAACTCTATTCCTTAGGTTTTGGAGCATCTATTCATGATGAGCAGGAGAGAAGATCTTCCTTTACTATTTAGCTTTACTTTCACTTTCAACTTTAAGCGCTTGAAGGCACTTAGAAAAGAGAATCCCGGAAGACGAAGATTTCATTCTCATAATCATATTTTCTTCTCTTTCTTTAGAAATAGTGACCTGGCTTCTTCGGTCGAGCCTTTCTTCTTCTCGCTTCGCTTGAGCTTTCTCCGTTCCTGATAGCTAGATTCAAAGAAGACATTTCTCTAGCGTTTTCAATCCAATCCCTATTGGTTAACTACGTACCTCTCGCTCTCAGACTAGGGATCTCTTTCCTATGCTATCCATCTTAGCCTTCTAACTTCATGTCTTCTGATTCACTATTGAGACTTGAAACTGAAGGAATGATTTATCTGATTCTCCTTCGTTCCCCAGCTTCCCTCCTCTCGCTATGGCCTGAGAAAGGCTTTCTCTTTCTTTCTTTTAGTCTAGTGAATGCAGACAGCACGATCAGGTAATTGACTGAAAGCAGAGTCTGTTTTATCCGATAGGGAGAGGAGGTAAGCTTGTGATCGGTATGAATTAGTTTGATGAGGGCCGGGCCAATTCAGTTACCAAGCTATAGGGAATTACCTTAGTCAAATAGGAACCGCTTTCTAGAAGCCTGCCCTGCTTCCCTTTTCTTTTGCCAATGAGGAAGGCATCTCGGAAGAAGAAGTTGGGAGGAAGAATGCAAGCAAGGGATATCAGTCTCCTTTCGCGCTACGCTAGGAAAGGTAGCGAACTTTGTAAATCCTTACTCTAAGAAGCAAGAAAGCCGTATTTGGAAGGCAGCCCAAAGAATGATGGCTTGGCCCTATTTTTGATTTTGCAGGCTCCACTCCAATAGATAGAGTGAGGGCTTCTACCTAGGCCTATTCTATTGGAGTGAAGGTTAGCATTCAGATCGATTTTCAGCCGGAAATGCCACCTTTTCCTGGCTTTCCAAACAAAGCCCATCGAAGTCCAGTCCATCTAATTAATTTAATTCCCATTCCAGGACGGCCCAGGCCGCTATCCGAGTGCAATCGGCAAAAGCTAGTTTACCTTACTTAAAAAAAAATGCTTTCGTTCTTCTGTCAAAAGTAGGGAACAGCAAGTGTCTGATCCTTTCAATCAAGCGATAGAGGCAGAGGCTTTACTTCAATCGCCTAAGCAAGGACTAGGCTGTCGAGTGAGGATTGGCCGAGGCTCGAGTTGAGCATGTAGCTGGGTACAAATAAGCCAGTAAAAGAGGAGTAGGCAGGGTACGACGAAGCACGCGTGGTACGTAAGCGAATACGGATCACGTGGGTTTGTACTGATCCGCTTTCGAGCTGTCGAGTGAGGATTGGCTGAACGTACTTTGGCAGCTCTCCTAGTGGAGTACTAGTCTGACGGATTATCATCGGTGTCAAGCCACGTTTCGATACCCGCGAAAAACAGGGGTCGGCCTCATCGTCTAAGGCGTCATAAGCAAGACAACACACCACTATATAAAATATAAAAAAAGAAAGAATTAATAATAATAAGAAAGAGTTAAGCGCCTCCAACGCCTATAAATAGGACGCTTCTTTCTCTATTTGGCAAAGAGAGAGGTAGAAGTCAGAAAGAAAGACTTTCAGTAACACTTAATGGATATCATTGCCGGAAGACTGGAAACAATTCAGAACGAAATCAGTGAGGCAGAAAACCAGAAGCTCGAATGTGAGCAAATGCTTGGTCTGTTCTGGGAGCATCCGCCTGCTCTCGATCCTGAGGACGTAGGAAGAAGGATGCAATTTTTACGGGACCACATTCGCGCTCTTGAAGAACGAAGGAGGGTTCTCATCCGAGAGCGCGAATTGCTGCTTATCAGGGCGGCCTCCATCATCCGCGGGAGACCAGGGGGAAACAACTAAGAAGTCCTTTGTTTTTGCTTATCTCTTTCTTTTAACTTAATATAATATGTTGTTTGTTTGTTAACTTTGTTGTAATGTTGTGTTTGGCTGGTCTATGTGTGTGTAAGTTTCCTATTGTATGTACTCCCATGTAAAAAAATGCCTATTATCTAGTGCTAGAATGAATAAAATCTGCTTTGTTTTAGTTCTTTATTTTCCTTCTAGTCCAGTCCACGATAAGACATCTTTGACTAAATAGAATCGGACTTTCCCACCCCCCTAATGGTGTGAGGTGATATCAAACCCCCGGTCGGGAAAGGAGAGCTTTACGAACCAATCAAACGAAAGATAAAGATAAGCGTAAGCCTGACGTGACGGTCGAATTCTTCCTTTTCATCAGAAAGCGCCTTACCGGGTCAACTCTTCTCTTCCTTACAGCGAGTGAAGGGACCAAAGAAGCAAGGAGCAAGAAAACGGGGCAAGAAAACTAGGCGGAGCAAGAAAACTAAAGCAGCAATCAAACTACGCAAGAAAACTCCTGCAGCAATCCAACTAAAGCAGCAATCCAACTAAAGCAGCAATCCAACTAAAGCAGCAATCCAACTAAAGCAGCAATCAAACTAAAGCAGCAAGAAAACTAAAGCAGCAAGAAAACGGCTGCGCGTGACTAACGCCTTAAACTGAGTGGGGGCTTTCGCGCTAGGGCGCTCATCCGTTGCTTGTTCGTGACTAACGCCTTAAACTAAGTGGGGGCTTTCGCGCTAGAGCGCTCATCCGTTGCTTGTTCGTACTAACGCCTTAAACTAAGTGGGGGCTTTCGCGCTAGGGCGCTAATTCCGTTGCTTGTTCGTGACTAACGCCTTAAACTAAGTGGGGGCTTTCGCGCTAGAGCGCCTTTATTCGTAGCGGGCTTGTTCGTACTAACGCCTTAAACTAAGTGGGGGCTTTCGCTAACGAGCGACTTTATTCGTAGCTGGCTTGTTCGTGACTAACGCCTTAAACTAAGTGGGGGCTTTCGCTAACGTGCGTTCAGTATCGGTATCGGTATTAATGAAGTCTCATCGGTAGCAATCAAACGGATAGGAAGAATAGATTTGATTTGACAGTTAAGACATGAAGTTCTCTGTCAGTACAGTCTCATATCAGTATTCGATATTCTGTACAGTAGAGGTATAAGTCCTGTAGGAAGTACTCAATCTGTCTGTACAGGAGATGAGATCGTAATATACGCTATTTCAATGAAGTAATTCTTTAGTTAGAGTCCGGTCAGTACACTATCGGTATTCTTTATATCCGTTTAATGTCTTATCTCATATCAGTCTGTAGAGTAAAGGTATTCAGTTTAATGTATTCAGTACATTGTTTCTAGTATGAAGTATGAAGTGAAGTTCAGCCTTTATTCGTAGCTGGAACAAGCAACGGATTAAGCTAGCGCTCTTTCCTGTGCTTGTTTAGTACTCTGTAGACGATATCAGATGAGATCTCTATATGCTATTTCTTATCATCTGTCTCATTCTGTACCGTATCACTATCAGTCGTCAGTATTAGAATTGGAACTGTGTCGTTATCAGTCTGATCGATATCAGTATCACCGGTAGTAGCCCTACTCGTCCCTATCTAGAAAACCCGTTGCTTGTTAGCTCAGCGTCTCAACCCCTCTCCAGCTTATTATTTAGGGGCGAGCAGCCCATTACGTTAGAAGGCCTTGCTTGTTGCTCTGTCATTGAATTCAGATGTACGGAACACATTCTATATCTCATATCTCATTCGTCAGTATTCAGTACTCGCTATCTGTCTCATTCTTAGTATTCACTATTCTGTCTTAGTACTCTGTTAAACCAATATCACATATAAGTCTGTACAGCAAGAAAAAACGGATAGGAAGGAAGTAAGAAGTGAGTTTCTAGACCGGACCTGAGCTGTATAAAGAATATATCCTTTCTGTCTCAGTTCCATTCGATCTTCGATCTTATTCTCTTCTTAATCTTCCTTAATCTCCCTTATGGTGAGTGAAGTGACTCATCCAGTGAAGATGGGGCACGAGCGGAGAGGAAGTAATCATTGACCGGAGTGGGATCTGTCCTGTAGCATGGTAGCGATCGGAGTAAGAGAATCAATCTCTGCCTCCTTTGCTTCAGTCCGTAGCTTGTTTGAGATAGAAGCATCAAGCGTATGAGACGGAAGCTGAAAGCCAATGATTACCAGCAAGAAAACGAGATAGCTATAGGCTTGAAGCTAACGTGCACTCAGTATCGGTATCGGTAGCTATCTTCACTCCTCTCGCTTCACTCGAGCATCTTCGCTCCTGCGCTCAGTCCTCTCTGTGCACTATCAGTCTCATAGGTATCAGTCTTAGTAGTCTGGTCAATGAACTCACTTCTTATCGTTCGTGCCTCATACCGATGAGTCACTTCACTCGCCTTAAGGAGGAATCGATTAGCCGACTTAAATAAAGATAACTAGGTGCCAAGCCTTTATATGAAACCATTTCTCTGGGAAAGACATCTTCAACCCTTCCTTCCCGGTCCCTCTTATAGAGGGTTCCTCTATTCCTATTTTCTAGGCTTCTCTATCACACTCTTCTCAGCCCAGGCCAGATAGACGAAAGAGGGTATGAAGATCTGAAGCTCCCTACGTTCCTTTTTATGTTCAAGACTAGCGATGCTTTCTTTTGATTCTGATTGGGTTATTTGTGACTGCTGGACCCTCCGCATAATCATTGATTATTGACTTCTCCGTAATCGAACCTGCCATCGACCCCTGTTGATAACCTCTCCTTGTAACTTTCCTATGTATGGTCTCTCCACTAAGCTTTGATCTACGCGCACTAGCATCCTCGGCGACTAATGCCCTTCTGCTGGTCTTTCGTCCATTACCTATGGTCTTTGGTAAGTAGTCTATAGTTCACTTTCGTCTATGGCCTGCCCCGCTCTCTTTTCAACTTAGTTATTAGTACTTCGGAGTGGTGCATACTCTCCTGCTTGGCTATTGAATGAATCTTATGCTTGTCAGGTCAACTCCTGTGTCTTCTCTTGCCTATCGTTCACTTCGGTGACTCCAACCCCGGAAAGATGATCTCTTCCACTAACCTCTTCCCATGAACTTCCTGAGTCCCTATCTAATAGTAAGCCCCCTCCCATCCTTACTGACTAAGGCTAAGGCTACGGTGGTGTCAAGGCAAGAAGTTCTCACATGAATAGACGTTTGAATATTCGCTCAGTACTTGAACCTTCGATCACTCGGATTCGTCGTTCACCTTCTCAAACCGACGAAGCCTACTCGACCTTCGTATTCCCTGCCCCCATACCTGAATGAAGGAAAGTAATAGCTAGAAAAAACAGGCTATTCCATCTAAGGCATAAGATGAACCGAGGAATCCAACCAAATATGAATGAATAGGCATGTGGGAACAGCATTGCTTGCATTGATTCAATTGATTTGAAGCGGCGGTTATACTATACATACAGTGTTTTTCACTAGGGGTTTTTACCGAATTGTTCACAAGCCCGTCAGAAGCAACCTCAGCAGAAAGCCACTCTTCCAGAGTCTCGTCCATCGTCTGCTTAGGCGACTATTTAATTGCCTTTAGATCTTCCTGTGAGTTAGGGCGAATACTATACTATATAGGCTAGGCTCCTTCCTCTGTTCTTTTTAATATACACTAAACCGAAAGTCTTGCTTTCAATGACTCCCCAAGCCATGACCTATTGGATCCTTCAGAACCAGCTTCAGCATTGAGTAAAGAAAAGAAGAATTCACTATTGGCCGTGTGGACATCAAAATCTTCACTTTCATGAGCAGGAGCTGGAGTTTAGGAATCGGGTATAGGTGCTGTCCATTCCATAGACGAGAGACTCGCTGACCCACTAGTGGTTTTAGTTGGTAAAAGACAACAGGTTCAAGACAAAGGTATGTCACGGGAGATGGAGCGAAAGCACAAGGCCAGTTCTCATCAACTGAGAGCTGTCAAGTAGAAAGTCTCTCTTTCAGTACGTAGCAAGAAAATGATGTATATCTAGTATATAGAGTTAAGAGGCGAATCGCAGACTATTCTTACCGAGGAATAAAGGAGCTATTAGTGGGTCGGTAAGTCACTTCAACTTGTTTCGTTAGGAACCCTTAGTTCGGACCCCTACTATAGGCCACCATGCGAAACTTTCCGGGCTCTTGATCGCAGCAACACACCTTCTTTACAACATAGCCTAAGCCAAACGAAAGTGATTTTCTTGTTTTCTTTATGTCGTATCCTTTTTTTTGGTTTGGACCAATGTCCCATCCACCGCCCATACGAGTATGCTATTCGCGCTTCAAGCTATCTTATAGAGTGGAAATCTTGGGCTTGAGCCTGGTATTTTTATAGATAAAGCAGCGGGAGGGAAGTTGAATAAAAGAATGCGTCTCAGGTGAGAGAAAGGCCTTGTAATAGGGGCTGAGTGTGCCTAAGGTGCTTAAGCAGTGTAAGATTAAGTTGATAATGAAAGAAGCTAGGCCTACAAAGCGATTGATCCAGTTCTTACTGATCCATAGAGAAAGGGGCAGGCCCCATATGTAACACATACAAATTATTTTGCCAGCTTTTTATGCTATCGCCTAAAGTGCTTTTCCAAGGTCTGGTGGAAAGGGAATCTTTGATTCCTAACTTAGGTTTTCTTTTCCGTATGCCCGTATAGGCAGCTCATCAATCTACTGATCGGATTAGCACACCAACTTGCCCAATTCTCGCCTGCGTTAGCAGAAGTAGAGATAGGATTGATTTTATGTGATAATTACAGAAACCGATATAACGGGAAAAAGGACAAAGGACTCAAAGAAAGCTTTTCTTTGATACTCTATATTGTATTTAGGGACTATCTTCCATTCTAAAGAAGCTATCCGGTCATCAGCCTGATAATCGCTGAACGTACAACTTGTGGTACGGACTCTTCTTCCTGCTGCTCACTGCCTCGCTTTTATGATTCTATTCTTCCACAGGGATTCGAAGTAGGTATTCTTAATCGGAATTGATTGCTTCATCAAGTTAT